GGCGCCCAGGCCGCGGAAGAAGTCCCCGTGCGGCGGGGGGGGGAGACGGTGACACCCCAGGACCCCGCCACGCGTCCCCGGGAGGAGGGCGGGAGTGAAGGGGCCGTTCATGGGAGGGAGCCTGAGGGACCCTGCAGGGAAGAAGAACCCCGCGGGAGCAGAGACGGGGTCTGGGAGAGGGGACGGAGGAGCCCGCGGGCGTGTGGGGTCCCGCGGGGAGATTTAGGCGGTCCGTAGCGGGAGATGGACCCTGCAGGGCGGTGTGAGAGGTCCCGAGGGGTGGGGTGTGCGCCGTGAGCGCCCGGCTCAGGCGGAGGCGGAGCCGCTTAAGCTCCGTGAAAATGCGCGCGGCGCCGCGGGGACGGTGCCGGCGAAGTTCCCGCCCGCGCCCAAAGCGGGGGTGGGTTCGGCAGCCAGGCCGTTTCCGGGGGACCGCAGGATGGGTGGGGGGCTCGGGCGACCTGGGGCGGCCCCGGCCCGGGGCGGGCAGCGTGGGCCCACCTCGACTCTGGCGCTGGCCGCAGGAGGCCTGGCGCTGAGGACAGGGGCGAGCCAGCGGATGGTCCCAACTTGTTTTCCAGTCACCGGTTCGATTGGTCGTTTCTGACAAGGGACCCCCTCTGCCCGCCGCAAAGCACACTCAGCCGCGGAGAGGCGCGCGCCGTAATTAAGCCGCAGCCCAGACGCGGCGACAAAACACCAATTAAGGGAACAAGCCCGAAACTAGAAACACAGAACCGTGTTGTGGAGCCCGAGAGCCATCAGGCCTCATCAAAACAACCAGCGCCGCTTCGCTGCAGCTGCAAGCCGGCTCGAGCGGCTCTGGGGATCGGTCCCCGGCCCTCCGGCCCCTAGCGGCCCAATCCCACCCCGCCCAGGTCTCCAGGGCGCGTGGGGCGCCTCGGTCCGGCGGGCCTTCGGTCCTGAGCCGCTCCAGGCGCCGTGTGCAGGCCAGTCCCTCCCCGGGCCGCCGGGGCCTTCTCCTCCTTCTGGGTCCCCGGGGCCGCGGCCGCCTCGGGCGCTGCTGCGCATTGCAGCCCCGGGCAGGCAGTCGCGCAACCATGCGCGTTTGCAAAGCCGCAGCGCCGCGGCCCGCACCGG